AATAAAATCCCAAGCAACCACATATTACAGTTACATTGTTTTTTTTTTTTGTTTTTTTTTTAAACAACAACTGAACATATATTAAACTCAAAACACAATAGGTTTGCATATTCCATAAACACAAATTGAACATATATTAAACTCCACGTTTTTATTTATGAGTTCTCTAATAATTACAACAGACATGAACAAAAAACCACGGGGTTACATATGTATATGTATATATGTATATTTGTATATGTATATGTATATTTGTATACATCTATATTTGTATATGTATATTTGTATACATCTATATTTGTATATATCTATATTTGTATATATATATATATATATACATATGGTTATGACCCACATCAAAACAACCATCAACATCAACGAGGACCCTCGTCAGTACGCATACCGTGAGAACTGATCAACAGAGGATGCCATCTCCTCTGTGGTCCACATTGTGCTCAACCACCTGGAGCAGAAAAACTCTTACGTCCATATGCTCTTTGTGGACTTCACATCTGCCTTCAACACCATGATCCCCCAAACCCTGATGGACAAACTATTCACACTAGGACTAAGCCCCTCCATTTGCAACTGGGTACTAGGCTTCTTAACAAACAGACCACAGTTAGTGAGGATCCACAACTTCTCCTCCACCATAACCCTCAGCACTGGCTCTCCTCAGGGATGTGTGTTGAGCCCCCTCCTGTTTACTCTGCTCACATATGATTGTGCAGCTACCTGTCCAGGCTGTCACATTGTAAAGTTTGCAGATGATACAGTGGTAGTGGGATGCATCACAAACAATGATGAGTCCAGCTACAGGCAAGAGGTGGAACACCTGGAGAACTGGTGCAAAGAGAATAACCTTCACACCAATGTGAAGAAGACAAAGGAGATGATTGTGGACTTCAGAAGGAACAAACACACCTACACCCCACTGAACATAAGAAGATCTGCGGTGGAAGTTGTCTCCAGCTACAAGTACTTGGGTGTACACATGAATGACAACCTCAGCTGGAGCAACAACACCACCAGCCTGATCAAGAAAGCTCATCAGAGACTCTACTTCCTCAGACAGCTGAGGCGAGCTGGTCTGGGAAGCTCAGTCCTCACCTCCTTCTACAGGTGTGCAGTGGAGAGCATCCTGTGCTCCAGCATCAACGTGTGGCATGGAGGCTGCACAGCTGCAGAAAGAAAAGCTTTGCAGAGAGTGGTGAAGGCTGCACAGAAGTCTGTCGGAGTCAGTCTCCCCCCCCAATAACAGACATCTACACCTCCAGATGTAGGAAGAGGGCCACCTGCATCATGAAGGACCCCACTCACCCAGCACACACACTTTTTTCCCCGCTCTTGTCAGGAAGGAGGTTAAGGAGCATTAAGTGTAGAACCACTAGACTGAGGAACAGCTTCTACCCTGAGGCTGTTAGACTCATGAATCTCTAACCAGAATAATCACTGTGAAAAAAATCACATGTTGCTGCTGATCTGTTTCAATGTTGCTGCTGATCTGTTTCAATGTTGATGTGTTCATGCGTGCTCATCTGCTCACAGACTCATGTTCATGTTTGTGCCGCTGTTTGACGTAATGCTTTTATGCTATTAGTGTTTAGTGTATATTTAGTTGATGTTTTTCTTAGTTCATATCTTAGATCTTATTACTGTTTTTCTTATACATTTTATTGTTGGATGTAACTGGGACTTTGTGTACATAATTTCTCTCCACCACATGTACCACATGAGGTGCGAATGACAATAAAGAAACTCTGACTCTGACAAAATATGTGGAAAATGTTTTTTCAAACAATAAAAATAAAAATCATAAAACTATTAAAATAAATTATTAAATTTCTATTAAATAATGAGATATGTTTAAGATAATGTTATATTTTTATCCACATTTTTGTAGTATATATTTTTCAGAGTTCACCAAGGCTGTTTTATCTCCATTGCTCTGTATAATTTGATGACACCTGGTCCATGTAATCCACTTTAAATGATCTATTCTTTAATTCAATTCAAAAATACTTTATTAATCCCAAAGGGAAATTATTTGTTGCTGTAACTAGTTATCCTCATTTCATTAAGAGATGTTATAGACACTGATGGCTGTAGACAGGAAGGATCTCTTGTAAAGGTCCACATTTCCTCCCTCTGTACCTGGCTAGTCCTGCAGCCCTGAGGGACTCCTCCAGAGCAGCAGCACTTGACTCTCCTCCTCTGTCCACCTCATCAATGCCTCATATTCTGTGCTGTGATTTAACAGGAAGTGTTAAACAAGGTTTGTTGTGTTGCTACAGCTCTTTACAGATTTTCCACAAACCGCTTCTTGGCTGTTTCTGAAGCTGAAATAGCTTCACACATGACTCTGTTAAACTCTGCCACTGGGTCTACACTACAGACTGACGAGCAGTGTGCCGCTCTGCTGAAATGCATCACACATTTACTCAGGTGGAAGAAAAAGTAGTTCCCTCCAACCGTGTATCATTTAGACAAGATCTCAATAGTTTAGTTACTTTCCACCATCTTCCTGTTAATGATATAATGATAAGTGGAACAAACCAGTTCTGCTTGTGATAAGATGGTCTCTTTGGTACGCCCCTCCTCCATTACCAGCCCTCTTCCTTGTTGACAGTCTTGTCAAACTGGTTGAAAACAACAAAGTCCATGCTCAATCATCCAGGTATAAAATCCACGATATTGATAGTTTGATTTAAACATCAATTCTAAAGCGAAACGTTCTGACATTGATAGTATCGATATTTTAGTGTCGATCCACATCACTACTTCAGGGTACAGATCCCCCGTGATAAACAAGGTAATTTGTTTTGTATGTAGTACCTTTATAGATCACCGGATGGTAGTATAAGGCTGTTTGAACCGAAGGATGGATAGTGAGGGAGCGAGCAGCATGTCTCTTTAAGAAAAATGAGAGGGAGGCCCGTTGACGTGACATGGGCTGTCTCTCTTCAATTCTCAAAATGGTGAATGCTCGGTGTGGTTTGACCTCTTTAGCATAGCATTTGTCACACAAAGCTTTTAATTAAAAAAATCTGTAAATAAGTTCTCAGCTTCTTTTTGCAGAGGAAAAACAACTTTTTAGACGAAGACACGGATTTCAACCGTGAATTTTGGAGCTTCGACAAGATGGATGTTTTTTTCCCCAAGATTGGCCTGTTAGCTTAGCTCATAGCTTAGCTTCTCAGCTTAGCTGCTTTTAACGATCCAAAAACACAATTTTGGATGGTTAAAATGGAGTTTAAAGAGAAAGGGAGAGGTCAGTGAAGAGCACCAGAGTTGAGCCTTTTGTCATCCATTGTCTTCAGTAGAAAGAGAGAGACATGAAGAAATGATAAAGCCGATAAATGAAAATGAAGTCGATAATTTTCATTTATCGTGCGATTAATTGGTTTATTGTTTATCGCGACAGGCCTAAAAATGACAACAAAAAATTAGTTTTTTATCACCGGCATTTTCAGAATAAAAGTGTTCTGACATTTCAACAAACCTGTCAGATTAATATTTTATTGTGTCAGCTTTTTTTTTTATTACTAGATTTTCTGGTGAAGCAGTGCTATGAGCCTGGGTATGAGCTGGATCAGAACCATCTTGTCGTTGGGGGCCATCCACACAGGACCAGTGTTCAGGAGACTAAACAGCATCTTTTGAAAACTGAGTAAACGTTCTTGAAACCCAGTCTAGTGTTTTTGTGCAGTCAGGAAGCAATGATGTCATAGCTCCGCCTCTAATCTAACCTGCAGCCTGAGCTCGTTGTCCTCTTGTGCTCATATTTGTGTGTCGGCGTTACAGCGCCACACGCTGACCTGATGGCTGCCGCAGCACTTTGGTGCGTCTCTGTGGATGGTGGCATTTCTAAAACAGCGCCTTGATTACGAGGAGATTTTTGGATACAGATAAGAAAAATGATGTTTAAGATAATTTATGGTCATGGTGATGTTCAGGATTACCAGCACATGGTAATTAAAATAAGGAGCAGAGATGTTTCTGCCTGATGAGATGCACATATATGGATTAAAGTTCTCATCATCTGTTGAAATGAGGAGGAGGAAGAAAGTGTTTTGTTGTGGTCTTGTTAAACCCATCCAATCTAATGATACAGGGATTAAACTGATGCTGCTTCAACCAAGAAAGAGAACCAGAACCACCGGGGGGGGGGGGGGGTCTAGTTCACAGTGAGCCCAGGTGTGAGCAGCAGACAAACTCCAGGTGAAAGCTCACCTGCAGCAAGCCAAAGAGGACACCCACTACCCTAACAGAACCACCCGCCCCCAACAAGATGTTGACATGTAATAAATTATTAAACGTGTGTTCACATGTGACCACTGCAGCCAGGAGAGACCAGAACTGATACACCATCACACCCACCCCCTCCTACTCCGTACCCCGACCTCAGGACCTTTTTATTAAATGTTAATGTGTTCGGAGCGTTGTCATCGTACATGAGCAACCTGCACGTGTGACCGAACTCCAGGTTCAAGAGCGACGTGCAGCCTGTTGCGTTTCTCACAGTGAGAGAGGCTGTTTCTGCTGCTTTAGCATTTCTAAATAAATATTCACGTTAAAACATGAATATTTATGTCCCAGACTGCAGCAGAGACGTGACTCAGTTTAACTTTAATGTTTACACCGAACTCAAGAAGTTCTCTGAGTCAGTTTCAGGTGTTTGTAGTTGATCATGATTATCTGCTAAATTCAGTTCTACACGGTGTTTTAACAACAACGAGGTGCTGAGTCTGTTTGGATGAACTAAACTGATTATATTTACAAACATATTGAGAGATAAAAATAAATAGTATTAAACAACTACATGAGCTGAAATCCTGTAAATATAATCCCTTTGAATTAAGTAATTATTCTAGGGAAAAATTTGTCAGTCTAGTATTTAAAAAAATGAATTTAATTTTTATTCTTCAAAGGACTTCCTGTGCTATGATCTCTAGGTGTAGAAAACATTTCAGTGAAAAGATTTTTTAAATTTTCTGCTTCAATCCATGCCTGTAGAACAACATGGGGGGGGGGGGGGGGGTAGTTTGTCACTTTGGGAGGATGAAGCGTTTTTAGATTCTGGTCCAAAATATTTTGACTGTGCAACAAAATGATTAATTTTAAGGTGTCTTCAAGTAAAACTATATATTTTCTCTTGAAGCACTGAAGTAAAACAGAATTATTTATATTTTATATTCTTTACATCCAGTTGTTATCCAGATGAACACAACAAGTTTCAGTAACTCCTCAGAAGACTGGAACCTGGACATAAATATGTTGTCGTTGGGTTTGTGAGCTCTGCTGTGTGGTCAGCAGGGGGCGCTGCACGGAGCGATGCCTGCTCAGGTTAACGTCATGTCTTCAGACCTTCATCATCATGTATTTCTGTGTTCTCAGGACACGGAGCTGGAGAAGATCACCAGGAGGTTCACCATTGAGCTCGCTAAGAAAGGCTTCATCGGTCAGTCCATCAGTCACCTTGACGGGGGGGGGTTAACGAGTTCACTAAAACTAATCCTGAACTCTTGTAGGATGAAGTTTAGTCAGGACAAAACAAACAGCTCAGACGTCGTCTGATAAAATCTTTCTGATCATCTCCAGATCTTCAGATTCCAAAACTTCATTTTGTTTGTTGTTTTGGTGAAACTGTCTGATTTAATTTGAAGTTTAGCTGTAAATGTGCAACATGATCAGAGGACAAATAAACCGTTTGGTTCAGTTGTTTCACTCTGGAGATGATCTCAGAGAGAAGACATTATTGGACCAGGTTTAATCTGCTCTCTGAACAATCGCATGTTGGGGTTTCTGGTTGGTTATTTTGAACCTGACAGACTCTTCTGCTGTTGGTGTTGCAGGACCTGGCGTCGATGTTCCTGCTCCTGACATGAGCACCGGAGAGCGGGAGATGTCATGGATCGCAGACACTTTCGCCAACACCTTGGGACATCACGTGAGTCTGAGAGCAGACCTCAGGTTCACAGACAAGTTGACTGTTCATAAAGGAAAACCACATCTGACGTGCAGTGCTGGGGTTCCTCTGTGACCCAGACTGTCCTGGACTCTGTTAAAGGGGTCAACACTTCTCTTTTAGAAGCAAGATAGAAAAAAGACCTAAAGTTAACCTTCAAAGGATCTCCTACTAGTTGGAACAATAGACCTTATTTGATAAACAATTACTTCAGCTAGAAGACAACAAGACTGAAAAGTACTGTAGGCTGTGATGATATGATTTTAGCACCAGTGCTAATATATATGACGTTAGCTCCAGTGCTAATATATATGATGTTAGCTCCAGTGCTAATATATATGACGTTAGCTCCAGTGCTAATATATATGATGTTAGCTCCAGTGCTAATATATATGATGCTAGCTCCAGTGCTAATATATATGATGCTAGCTCCAGTGCTAATATATATGATGCTAGCTCCAGTGCTAATATATATGATGTTAGCTACAGTGCTAATAATATATGATGTTAGCTCCAGTGCTAATATATATGATGTTAGCTCCAGTGCTAATATATATGACGTTAGCTCCAGTGCTCATATATGTATAATGCTAACTCCAGTGCTAATATATATGA